TCCTTATGGAGTTATCACTGGTCTTGCAGCTAGAAAAGCAACTGGAATTCGAAAAGGAATTAGTCCTATGAATCGACCATCTTTAAGTGATAAGGTAATGGTGACTTAATCCTGAATCAGATAAACTTTTTATTTGTGTTAATATTTTCTGTGAATGAACTTTGAAAGAGCATTTTATTTAAATATTTTTATATTTTTAAATGTATTACTATGGGACTTATATAAAAACTTTAATAACTCAATTAATTATTCATGAACACCTATATTTGCACATTCTCAAGTGTGCAAATACTAGGTTCCTGACTAGTACACATGCACACTTTTTTTTCTTTTTTAAAGATTTATTTATTGATTTATACAGAACTGAGGTCAGAGGAGCAGGGGCAGTGAGAGGATTCACCAGAGACAGAGTGGGGAGCAGAATAGGCGACTGACAAAGTAGACTGTTGAGGGGAGCAGTGGGCGGGCCAGGAGAAGTCTGCCTGGCCAGGTGATCACCTTTGGGGCGGGTGGGGATCTAACTCATGCTGAAGTGGCTTTAGCTTCTTAGTGCTGTGCCTTAAACCCACTGCTGCACCAGGGAGGCCCCACATGTACACTTTTTAATGGTTTGTTGAGATACAATTTGGTGGTATAAAATTCATACCCCATTTAGTGAATTTTAGAAAATTTACATAGTTGTAGTCATCACAGTCTAATTTTAGAGCAGTTCTATTACTCTGAAAAGAAACCTAATGTCCATCTGTCTAGGTAAGCACTAATCACTTTGTGGGTTTTCTATAAATTTGCCTTTTCAGCACATTTTGTATAAATGGACTCACACAAAATATGTAGTCTGGCATTTAGCCATAATCTTTCTGAAGTTTATCCTGTTAGGTATATGTATTTAATTTCTTTTATTACTGAATAACGCACCATATTTTGTTTATTCATATATTTGCTGATGGTCATTTTGGTGGTATTACTTTGAATATTCATATGTATGTGTGCATCTATGGATATAGGTTTTTCATTCCTCTTGGGTAGATAACTATTCTCTAGTTGATATTTTCAGTTAGCAAATACATAAGGTAACTACCGCCATAAAGTAACTACTTTTGAATTTCAATTCTCTTTATTTACATCACAAGGGGTATAATTTTTGAGTTAGCAAACTCATTTCTAAAGTGACTTAATAAATGTTTTTCTCCTATATATTTAGTAACTGAGCCACCAAGAAATTTAAGGTTCAACTCTTATATTTTTAATCCTTTTGATTTCTCTGATTATGAAAGTCATATATGTGAAAATTAAAGGCATTTAATGTTTTTATTTTATTAAATTTTATTATTATTTTTAATATATATAAATTTTACATTATTCTTCATTTTGTACATTTTTTAAAATCTCAGTTGTAATCCTCCTGAACTTCTCACCACCACTTCCCATGAACCATCGCCATAGTCCTTTGTGCTCTTCCCACCCCTTTTTAATCCTGTTCCCCTCTGCTTCCTTGTAGAATGTCTCTGGTTATATAGTATTATTTTTAAGAACTGGGGTATGGGTCAGAGGTGCAGGGTTCTAGTGGGAGAGGTGAGGTTAGAGGATTCATCAGAGACAGAGCTGGGAGCAGAGCAAGCAGATGTAATGAAATATATGCTGAGGGAGGCAGCAGGCAGGCAGGAGAGGTCTGCCATGCCATGGGGTCACCTCTCTGGCAGGGGATCGAACTCGTGCTGCAGTGGCTACGGACAGCTTCACAGTGCTGCACTTTAACCCTTTGTGCCACTAGGGAGGGCCCTGATTATTTTTTATTGAGGTAACATTGGTTTACATTACTGTATATGACCTAGAGCTATAGATTCAGATTTCTTTACACGTATATTACAATGACAGTCCCAACACCAAAGAATCCATAAACTGGCCCTCCCTGGTGGCGCAGCAGGTTAAAGCACAGCACTAAGAAACTAAAGTCACCACTTCCGCATGAGTTCGATCCCCGCCTGCCCTGGAGGTGATCCACATGGCGAGGCAGACCTCTCCAGACCTGCCCGCTGCTCCCCTCAGCAGTGTACCTCATCAGTCTGCCTGTTCTGCTCCCTGCTCTGTCTCTGGTGAAGCCTCTCACCGCCCCTGCATCTCTGGCCTGTACCTCAGTTTTGTATGCACAAATAAATAAAAAATCTTTAAAAAAAAAAAAAATGAACTCCTACCAGAGTCCGCTGGGCCCTTTCCCAACCTTCCCTGCTTTGTTCCCCACCCCACCCCTTCTCCCTCTGGTAGTCTCAATTCTGCAGTCAGATTTCTAGGGTTTGTTTTGTTTATTTCTTTGTTTTGTTTATTTATATTTCACATGTAAGTGAAGTCCTGCAGTGTTTTTCTTTCTCCTTTTGACTTATTTCACTTAGCATAATCCTCTCCAGTTCTTTGAACTTTGAATTTTATAACATATGGTAAGATTATATATATATTTTTATAGCTGAATAGTGTTATATTGTGTATGTGTTCTATATCTTCTTTTTTTTTTTTTTTTAAAGATTTATTTATTTGTTCATACAGAACTG